TTATTTTTTATTTTAACCTGAAATCAAACTTGGACCTTGCACTTTCCAGGCAGGCACTGTGCCACTGACTCAATCTCTGGCCCTTAAAATATATTTTTGATGTGCTGAAATTTTAATTTCATATTTTATCAAGTGTATTTATCATTTCTTTTACTATTTCATTATTTCTTTGTATTTAAAATTCATTCCATTGAAGTCTTAGTCATATGTTTACTTATATTTCATCCCAGATTACAAATAGTTTTAAATCCCATATTTGATATTCAATATATGTTATTTGTTTATGTTTAAAGATGAAAATTTTAGTGTTTTTGTCTTAAAATGTCAATTCTTTTAATCATTTACCTAGTATTCCTCCTTAGTTTTAAATATTTTTGTCAATATCAATATAGAATATAAAGTTACTTGTCCTAAAGGATGTTTCATATTGTATACTTATGTTCCTTAAAGTATTTATCAATTTCAGGACCAACACCATTTATTTATTTATTTATTTATTTATTTATTTATTTATTTATTTATTGCATTTACTTTTTATTGAATTTGTTAATGTTAATGTTCTTGCACTGCCAAACTATGCCTGAGAATCCAAGGAAGGAAATGGTACAATGGACTGCCTCATCCACCCATCATACAGTGTATTAGAACTTGATTCATGTGCACTTTTGTAATTTCACAGTCTTTTAAAAAGTTATAACAAGAGCTGGAATATAAATCTGCTGCAGTCTTCAGCTTTCCAGTACAGCGAGCCATTAAATAAAACTTCGCATTCACCTCACATCACCTCTCAAAAACATGACCCTCGACAAAATTTTGAAGGAAAAGGGGTACTTTTCATCACATTTTTAATAGGACACCTCTGTAGTATTTTATTTATTTATTTATTTTGTTTATTTTTCTTTATATTTTATATATGTTTATTATAAAATATCTGACAGACCAACTTACCACTTTTAGTTCATACACTGAAATTATTCCTATAGATATTTTCTTGTATACACGATTCTTGCAGCTCCTGATACCTAGCCATCCTTCTGGGTTAACTTTGCAATAATGTGCTGCACATCAGAAGTGCTCCGGGGAAGCATGGCCATCTTCATGAGCTTCCTGCTTGGCAGCAGCCCTGGTCTTTCCCACTGCATCATGCATTTTCCAGCTTGCATTTGGAGCGTGGGCACATTTCCCTCCTTAAGCCCCGGTGCCTCCTCCCACCTCTGCTCTCCTTCTCCACGCTCTCCTCCTCCTCTTCCTCCTCCCCTTCCTTCTCCTCCTCGCTCTGTCCTCCTCCTCCTCTCCTCAACACTATGCTAAGATCCTTTCCTGTGATCTCATTTATTATTAATATAGGGAAGCTTTACTGTCATTTACTCACTTCCTGTTGATTTATATGATTTAAACTCCTTTAATAGGAAGCACAAATATTGGCAGTAAATATTCACAGTTGCATCATTATTTACATTTACTTTTAGAGCTGTGGCTCCATTACATTGCCTACTTTGGCCTCAAACTCACAGCCCTGGCTCAATTCCCTTGTAGCTAGAAATTTTTTTTTTTTTCCAGAATTCGGGCCCTTGGGCTTGCCAGGCAAGCTCTTATTCTACTGAGCTATCTCCCCGGCCCCTGAAACCTTGTTTTTGATTGTCGTAGTATAAGTTGCTTGTTTTGCATATCCTTCCCTTTTTTTTTCTTCTAATGACTAATTTTCTCCTAGATGTATAAAGAATTCATATTTTTCTTAGCATTATTTTGAAATTTCTGAGACTTAAATCTCTTAATAATAATTTTGGTTCAGCTATTGTGCTGGTTCTTTACATTTTATTTTAAAAATTAACTCTTCGGCCATGTTTGCAAGGCTCCCGTGGGAACTGCGCCCACCCCACACTTACACTGCCCACTGGCTTTCCCCTAAACTCACTTTACATCCGGGTATCCAGCTCTCTGCTTATCCATTAGCCCATCATGCTTTTGAGATGTTTAAATATAATTGCATAAATCAGCACATTTTTCCCTAATCATTTTATCATGTGTACCATTAGCAAGATCAAATTGTTTTAGGAATATAAAGAAGTCACCTCTTATGAAATGAGAAAATGTGAAGTATAGATGTGCGCAGGTTGCCAAGTGCCCGTATTACGTAACCCAAGTGATGTCCGAGTAATGGAATGCATTGCTGTCGCCATGGAAACTTCTGCTGGGCCATTTGCACGAGTGCTCTGCTCCAGTTGCCCTCTGACGGCATCAGCGATGCGGGCTTTCTCCATTACAAACTCATTTCCCTTTGCTCAAATTTCATACAAGTAGACTCACATAGTACCTATTTTTTCTTTGTATAAAGACTCTTCATGGGCCAGTCAGATAGCTCAGTGAACTAAAGCACCTGCTTAGGGTGGGGTACTGGGGTGGGCGTGCTGTGCTAGCCCTACCCCAGGGGTGCACTGAGAGGGTGACTGAGACTGATTGTGGTGGCACTCACCTGTCATCCTAGCGCTTGGGAGGCTGAAGACAGGATCACTACGAGTCCAGCCTGTGTAGTGAGACCCTGTAGACTGTGTACTAAAAACTCCAATATTTAAGAAATCTTTTAAAAAAGACTCTTCACAATATTTTTTGTGACTTATATGGTACATGTTGCTTTGTGTACCCATAGTTCTTTACTTTTTATTTCTGACTATGTCATATATAGATATCCCACTTATGTGTATATGAGGGGATGACAGGTTCTGGTTTTGTTTTTGTTTGTCTCTAAACAGTTCTCAGTATCCACAAAGAACTGCTTCCAAGGTACCTTGTGGATTTCAAAATCTAAGGACGCCTAGATTCCTTATATAAAAGGGAGCAGTATTTGAATACAGCCTATGTGTATCCTCCAATAATCTTTCTTTCTTTCTTTCTTTCTTTCTTTCTTTCTTTCTTTCTTTCTTTCTTTCTTTCTTTCTTTCTTTCTTTCTTTCTTCTTTCTTTTTTCTTTCTTTCTTACAGCATCTCACTACATAGCTCAGACTTGCAGTGATTCTCCTGTTTTCAGCCTCCCCAGTACTGGAATTACAGGCATGCACTAACACATCTGGACTCAGTGGCAGGCTCAGTGAGCCAGGGGCTGGGGCCAGCGCAGCATGTGGTACTGGGGATAGAGCCCGCATCTGTGTGCAGGCACTTAGTCCACTGAGCTATCTCGCCATCCCCCCTTCAATGTACTTTCAATTATCCTCAGATTACTTATAATGCATAATACAATGTTTTAATGGTTTCTATCTAGATGTTCCTCAAAGCCTCATGCAGCCATAGTGGGGCTTTTTCAGAGGTCTAGAGTATGAGATGCCGGCATTGATCCATGATGCAATGCTAGGATCAAGGGAACAAGGGTGAAAGGGTACAGATGCTGCCTGCCCTAAGTAGCCTGGGTAGAACACAAGGGACAGAAAGAGCTGTGGCCATCCCTCGTTCCTTTGCTATCTTCTGCCCTCCATGAGCTCTTCCTCCTCTGTGATGCCTGTCTACTGTGGAGCCAGCTGAATAAGGACTGAGACTGCCACAAACTGTGAGATCAATGAACCTTTCTTTCTTTGGCTTTGAGTTTAAGGCATTTTGTCTCACAATGAAGAAAGTAATTAAGAGACCTGTCAAAGCTGTGTCAATGCTGTACTTTCCTGTGTAGGCAATAAGAATAGAAATCTATATATCTTCTGTAGAGATTCACTTTACAAACTATTTTCAGTCCACAGTTGATTGAATGTGTGGATGTGGAACCAAAGGAATGGAAAGCCAACTGCATTTCTATCAAGAGCCCTATGCTGTTTCCCTTTAGTTCATTACAAATAATCTTGTGCAACCCTTTCTGTGAACAAGTTTTCTTTGCTTTTTGATACAATGCTGGGAGTGAGATTTCGAGGCATAGCATGGCTTTTAATTTCCTTTTACTGATTTTTTAATGACATCTGATGCATTTAAACTTACTGTTGTTCTACCTTTTTTTTTTTTTTTTTTTTTTTTTTTTTTTTTGCGGAACTGGGGATTGAACTCAGGCCCTCGTGCTTGCCAGAGAAGCGCTTATTCCACTGAGCCATCTCCCTGGCCCTACCCTCTCTTGATTTTTTTAAAAAAATCTCATTTGTTGCCCCTTGGCTGATGCCTCCTTGTTTCCTTGCTTCACAGAGCCTGGGTGTTCTCCCATCACAGTGAAGTTGCCAATTTTCAGTACTGGCTTTTATGTTGGTTCTTTGGTTGAACTATTTCCAGAAGTTATACCATTTACCGAGCATTTGAGCTTCTGGATGAATAAGTTCATCCCTTCATGGACCTCATTTTCTCATAGACTATGGTTGAAAATGGGCTGATGGATGGCAACCACCCCGGCGCTGCTTGTGCCAATCAGGTGCCGACTGCTTTTCTCTACTCACAGTCTGAGTTTGCACTGTGGCCTGAGGGCGGTTTTTCTCCCTCCTAGCTTTCTTTCTTTTTGTGGGGTGACAGGCTCCGGGTCTCTGTGGAACCCTGTCTTCATCACTTTTCTTATAACTGTGCATAAGGCCTGACATGCAACACTTAAAAAGGAAGTTTGTTTTGGATTTAAAAAAGTTTGTGGCGGGTTCAGTCCACGTGTGGCTGGCTCCACGCAGGGCAGCAGGGCAGAGGGGCTCAGTGGGGGAGCGTTGCTTAAGGTGTGGCCATCAGGAAGCAGAGGGAGGCCACAGACAGGCAGGGAGGGAGAGAAACCCTTAGGTCCCACTCTGCTGAGCCACCTTGCCCAACCGGATTCCACACCTTAATCCAACCACCTTCCAATGCTCTGGATTATGATTGCACAAGTCTCTTAGCCAACATCCAGAACCATAAGACTGCCAAGTTTCCTTAAATCCCCACCTTTCCAGACTGCTGGAATCAATCCTTTTTCAGGACAAAATAGCAAAAACCTAAATGGAAGGATGACTGCCCTAGAATCTCATTTGAATACAAAATTGTTGGCCCAGCAAGATGGCAGTCAGAAAAAAGAAAACCCTTCCTTCCTTCATTTCTTCAGGTAGATAGAGTGTTTCCTTCGCAGAGAGCAATGCAGAGTCAGGGAAAACCGCTTTCTTCATCCTAACCATCCATGTCAAGATCGTGGCAACCATTGAGAAGCTGGGCAGCTGTGTGCTGGTTGTACTTGGTTCATGGTGTTCTTGTGAGCTCTCTTTTTTTTTATCTCCTTTGCTTGTTGAGAAGTTAGAAACTGGCATCAAAATTTGCTCTCCTGATTTGAAAAGTGTGTTTGTCATAATGAATATTTGATCAGTTAACATATATTAAATTGGAAATAAAACGCTAGTATGGTAATGACAAACATCTAGCACAGAGTGCCAGATACTCCTCTGGATAGAGTGATCTGGGTAGATTGCTGGATGGGCTAATTTATGGAGTGGAGTCCCTGGTAGAGCCGGAGGTCCTTGGCATAGGAGTTAAGTTCTAATTTGATAGCACGGCGCCTGGTTACGCCCGCCTTTGGTTGGAATTCAGTACAACTGATGCTGTCATTAGACTGGCATCTGAACTGGGGATTTAGCTGGGCCAGGGTGCAGAGAGAACGAACAAAGCAGGCTTCTCTCCTTTTCAGTCACTCTGTCCGTCTCTGTCTCCGTGTCTTTGGCTGCTTCTCCTGTTCTTAGTTTATGGCTTAATAAGGGAATTCAAGATGTACTCAGGTGTGCTTTTAAGATGAGTTTGAAACAAAAGGGCAGAGAAATGGAAGATATTTTTAACAGATCATATGAAGTAGACAACATCTTTTAAAGTGACTAAAAATATCCACTGCTGCGTTACGTGAGCCCTTCGGCTCTTTGAATGTAGTCACTGGAGGTTCTGTGGTAACACGGACGAAATGATCATTACGTGATAGAAAGGCGGACCCGGATGGTGATGTAAAGAAAGCCCGGAAGGAAGAAACCAGAGCCCCTTTCCAGGGCTGCACACCTGGAGGAGGATGAGCGCAGAGCTCGCAGAGAACTGGAGGGGATGTTGGGCTGAGCTTCAAGGAAATAGTAGCTTCCCTGGCCTCGGAGGAGGTGGGATGTTAACAAGGAATAACTCCCACTCCTTTGCATGGTTTCCTTGGTCCCTTTGTACACTGCCCTGTTGCTTCCTGGGATAAAGCTCTTCCGAAGGCTTTGGAAGGCCGTTCCTTCTGCCTGGCCTGTGAGAGGGCACGGTGGGCAGACGGGGCTCCTCAGTGCTCCGCCCGTAGCCTGGAGCGGAAGCGCCGTCCTCCCTGCAGTCCTGGGCCTGACACGGTTCTGCCTGGGGTTCAGTGTCTGTCCCCAAGCCAAGAGACTTTGGGGGAACTGAAGCCCGCACATTTTCTCTTCCAGGTCTCCTGTTCGGCGTTCTGTGCACATCCATGGCTGTGGCGGCTTCCCTCATGGGGAGTGTCGTGCAGGTAACCAGGGGAGAAGTCGGAATTTCACACAGGGATCTCCCGTCTTTCAGTGATGCGGGCAGGGTCCAAAAGTGACAGACATGTTCCCTGCCAGTCAATTGGCTTTCAGAAACTACTAAAACTAGGAATGGGATAATGGCACAGTACATTCTGTTAAAATTAGACACCTAAATCCTAGGAAAACCTTTCAAACTAAATATAAGAACGTTAATAGCCACTTGCATGCGTGTAGTCTGAATGCTTTAGGTGCAGGCTTCGATGTTGTCGCCCGTCCCATCCTCATCCCTGCTGTAAGAGGCAGTATAGCCACAGTGTCCACTCTCTAGGAGCAGAAGCTGAAGATGACCCCACATTTGCTTCACTGAAGCAGAGCAGAGCTAGGCCACAGCCCCTCTGCTAACTATGATCCAAGCTGAACTGCTCCTCATATATCCAACTTCAATTGCACAAAACATCAGCACTGGAAGGAGGCTCAGGATGGCCCTTCTAGCTCCTCCCATTGTGGCTGATTGCAGGAGAGGGTGAAATCCTGCTTGGGTTCGCACAGTGGCTGGGAGTCCCCGACACACAGCATGTTGTAGACAGGGATCTACAAATTCCTTGAGTGGCAGCAATGCAAAATGATTCCATTGCATATAGAATGCCAGTAATTATGGGATTCCTGTCCCCAGTTGTAGAAAAAGCAACTTTGGAGTGGCGTCTACTTTTCAGAGCAAATCTTACCTGAGGACTGCTCACACCGGTTCTTTTATTTCCCTGTCAAAGTTCAGGGACGTGTCTGGGAAACGTGAGCGATGAGATAATTTGCCTGTCTGCAGCAGACAACTTTTGCTCCTAGAGCTCTGGTGTCCTCTCCCCTAAGCCAGGGGCCTTCCTACACCCTTCGCCTTCCACAGATGCCCGATCGTCTCTTTACAACGTCCGAGGTACTCGGCAAGCTCTTCAGCCACACAGAGGAACGGGCCGCTGGCAGGCTTGCCTCGAGGGCCAGCAGATGCACCTTCAGAGCTGGGTTTTCCCAGGATAAGGGGCCATGTTTCCCAGTCTACTCAGATACTCTGCTCTTCCTGGCTTTCCCTGTTTCATTGCAGTTAGCATTTACTCTTTTTTTAGAGTTATTATAGTTTATTATTTCTTCATATTAATACAACTGTATTATAAGTACTGCTCACATTTATTGTAGGAAATTTGTGTTTGCACAAAAGATATTTTAATTATTATTTTCCCATTCTCTTCACCTCCCTCCAGGTCTTCTTCCTCTCATTTACAAAAGCCTTGTTTCATTTTGTTCTTTCTTATGTTAATTTTATTGAGAAAGAAGTAGCAATGAGACAGTTACAAAACAGGTTAGTAGGACAGTTACAATAATTAATACATTGCATATAATGCAGTTTATCTTAGAGGAGTGTCACCCTTCCCCTCTGGTGGTCACCTGAATGACAACTCCTTAGCTTTCAGAGACATTTGATTTTTAAGCAATGCTGGCGTGAGGGCTACAGAACAGGCAGGGAGAGGTGGGAGACAACTGTCACAGGCAGGTGGGGAGGCAGCTTGCGCTAAGTCAGTGGGGCATCCTGGGCCCCTTTCCTCATTGGGCAAAATGTGTGCCACGCAGTTCTACAACACAGAAGATGCTGGTGCCCCACAAGTAAGAACCTGGTCTGGTTCCTGGGCCAGGTGTTTGTCCCTAAGAGCTCATTCACTTCCCTGAGCTCATCTGACTTTGATGGCTAAAGGACGATGCCTGCAATTCACCTGTTTAATTTTCCAAATGGCTTTGCCATCTTGAGTGGGATGGATCAACATTTTGAACTTCTGTAAGAATAAAACAAACCCCAGGCATATCAAAGTCAGAGAGCCTGGTTGCATCTTGCGTTCCCCCAGCCGCCCCTCACTTACATTGTGTGTCTGTGGGAGATCTAGGTTGTTCCTCTTGCGGTGTTTCTGCAGTGCGAGGGCATTGCTTTATTTTAAGAATCTACACAATGCATTCCTAGAGCATCCTATTGTGAAAAACGCTAAGGGAACATTTTCCAGTTGAAAGACTCTGGCCCATGCTGTGTGCCGCCTTCATGTTGTGGAGCCGCAGCACACCTCAGCCAGCTGAGGGCTGTGGGCAACCTAGCGTGTGCGCTGTGGTCCAACTACAACTAGGGCACCCAGAGCCTTCCTAGGGTGGGCTGGAAGGGCGAGCCAGAACGTGGCAGCCGGCCTCCCATGCACCAGGGCTCAGCAGAGAGTCACGAGGAAGTCACTCTTGCCGAGATGCTTCTGTCCTGCATGTCATCAGCTGGCTCTTTTCAGCTTTGTGGTGACTTTGAGACATATCTTAGACAGTGTTCTTTAGATCTCAGCCCATTCCAACAATCAGAGCACATGGATGACTCAGAAATCAGAGTTCTGGAGCACAGCTGGTAGGTAACAGTGGTGATACAGAAAGAGCTGTCAAAAAAAAAAAAAAAAAAAAAAAGAAAAAGAAAAAAAGAAAGAATGAAAGAGCTGTTCGTGTTCTGGGTCCCTCTGCATGAGGTCCATAGAGGCCAGGCAGACTTCCTGCTTTTTCTTGGATTCTACACTGAATGTTCATCAAAAGGCAAACAAACGAAACCAAAGCCAACCGTGAGCAGCTATTATGTTGTGTGCCTCATACGTGAGAAACGTGAGGCACAGACAGCAATGGAAGCTATTAGGCAGAGGCCACACAGCAGCCTCCACTGCAGACCACCTTGCTGAGCCTCTGTCCTCTGCCTGTAGGAGTACCACAGGTGGGATGCAATCTTTGACAAGGAATAAACTAACTTTGAATTAATTCTTCCAATGAAGCATGAACATCACAAGAATACAGTAAAAATCAAAGTTTTTGTCTTCTGCCCTACAGAAATACACATATGATTGCAATTGAATGTGTACCTATATACACAGGTATTTAAACCCAGAAACTCTTCTATTCTTTTTTCATTGTGATCAAGTACTGGCTTTCTGTTTAGTGACTTTATACGTTTGTTAATTTTTTTCCATAGGGAGAGATAAACATTGCTATTTTATTGACCTTCCTATACAATTGCTCACAAGTTCCAAATTCAGCAACAGGAATTGTGACATAATGTTACCGTCACACAGCAGGGTGATGCCACATGTAATAAGAGAGGCTGGGGAGGATGCCACTGACCCCGCTTGTGTCCAGCCTGTGGGTGGCAGATCCGAGGTGCTGGGTTCTCTAAAGAAAAGGATCGTGACCATGCAATGCTTCCCATCTTTCTAAAGAGAAAGCCTTCCATGGCAGCTGGAGAATGGACAGCCACTGGCCCTGTGCGTTTGTGGGGAGAAGGAAGACAAGTCTGATGTGGAATGAATTTGAGCTAATGGTAGAAAGTTTACCAGATCCTAGTGCTGTGTGACAGGCTAGGATTAGAATGTGACCATTGGCAGTGGGCTCTTTCCAAGCCCTTTTCTCTCTTAAACAAGACAGGATGTTACAGCGACTTATCTCTTGAGTTTTAAAGTGCTCTTTTTGAGAAAAAATGAGGGTCTTACAGCCATAAAAATCTGAATTAAAATCTCACTTCTGCCACTTTCTGAATGGAAATAGATTTTTTATGTTTCTTTCAGCCCCAATTTTCTCACTTACAAAAGTGTTACCCACTAATCCAGAATTATGGGGCATACCAGAGGCCACGCGTCCAGGGTGCCGAGGTCTTTCTTTACGTGAGGTCTTCAGCATGTTGTCTTCTCAGCGCCTTTCTGCGAGCCAGGTAGATGCCTTGTGGGATGGCACAGGAGACCCAGAGAGCAGTGCTCAGGCAAGGACTCCGCCACTGGGCTATATCTCTGCCCAGAATTCCCTTCCTGCTAAGATAAAATAAGACTGATCAGTTAATTCCTCCTTAAGTGAAATGCACTTCACTTGTGTTTCCTCTTTATGCATACACACACACACACACACACACACACACACACACACACACAGAGGCACAGGCACAGATGTGTGTATATACACTTTTTCTTCTTTTACACAAGTGTTGCTTTGGACCTACAACTGGCCTGCAGAAAGCAGGCAGTTGATGAGCAGCATGGTGGGGACGAGCGCTTGGGGTCCTGCTGGGTCCATCCAGGAGGCCCGGAGGAGTCAGAGGGGGCTGACCGTTGGTTGCATTTGTCCCACAGGCTTCCCTCAGCATCCACGGCATGTGTGGGGGACCCATGCTGGGCTTGTTCTCCTTGGGACTCGTGTTTCCTTTTGTGAACTGGAAGGTAAGGATCGCGTACCCCACACCACGCTTCTCAGGCCAAGTTGTACCTGCTGTTTTCTTTCCCCTTTCATCCCCATGCAGAGAAGCCATTTGTCCCTGCTAGGATGAGTTCACGGATTTGGACAGAATTTAAACAAGACCTGAGCCCTCCTATATCTGACTGCAGTGAAGTCATTTTCAAAACAAAAAATCAAAGGGAAGAGGTGTTCGTACACTAAGATATGTCAGGCATCCATCCAAGCTTCCCCTTTACAGATAACACTGACACTTCTCTCATTGCAAGGCTCATGAGATGCATTTTAAAAATGAAGTGGATTCAGAGATAGTGCATTAAAATATAATTAAAAAAAATCAAAGTTTGAAAATGCATGTCAATTTTATTTGTTCACCACTTCCCTAAAATAGCTCATGTTATTGAACTAATTAACTGATGTAGGCAGTGGGGAGGGAGAAGCCTGGTTTCACGCTGGTGCTGGAGCTCCCTCACGGTGCTCTACGGGCCAGCTGGTGGCAAGTGTTCAAGGAGAAGTTGGCTAAATGACTGCATAGGGTGTGAATCCAAGTGCACATGCTTAGGGAAAGGCAATAAAGTGATATTTTAAAAATATTTAAAGAATTATAATTTTCTTAATCTAACAACATTATCATCCACTTACTTACCAGCATGTATGTTCAGAAAGTCTTTGGGCTTCGGGAACATGGCTCTGTATTTGTTTACGTGTACACTGCAGGGCACCCTGTTCATCCTGGGTCACCCCTTGATAAGTCTCCTTGGCTGAGTAAACAGAGTGGCATTGGTACCACCTCCACCGCTGTCCTATTAGGATTAGTATGTTGGGTTCCAGGGACCTTGATGCCCTTGAGGATAATACAGGAAGACTATGCCTGGTCTCCCAAAATCTACGCAGTAGCTCCATAAGATTTCAGTGGTTTGCATCCTTCAATTTTGGTGGATCATACACTCAAAGAAAGAAGAGTTCTATTTTGTGACCTGCGAATATTATATAATATTAAACAAGATCAGTGTCCCTGTCCTTCCTGGAAGATAGCCAGCTTCTTTTGTTTCACTGTTGTCTGTGGTTGCTTTTCTGCCACAGTGGCACAGCTGAATGGCCTGGACAGACACTGGAGCGCACAAGGCCTAAGACATCAACCTGGCTGTGGACCATAAGAGTTTGTAGCAGTCTGGTCTAAGTCAAGGCACAAGCGTTCAAATCAGCCACAGTGCATTAATCCTCCGAGACAACGGAGAAAGCATTCTGGTGCTTTGTGCCAAGATTCTCTATGTGTTCCACAAGCTAGCAATGTTTTCCCTCTCCCACGGAGGGCCCCGCTTTGTGGCCCAGACCAGAGGCCTCAGCGGCTCTTCACGACCTCTGGCCCTGCGAGAGCAGCTGCTTCACTCGCAGGAGAAATCAGTCCTCGCCTTCCCATGGTTTCTCCAGAAGTGCAACTCACAAGCAACGGAACTGCTACCTCCACTTTCTAGCATTTACACTCAAACAAAACCCCTAGCACATCAGGGGATTTTGAGGGCTGTCCTGCGTGACTGCTGCTAAGAAAACGTGACCACACTGTCTCCATGCTCTGAAGTTTTCCTTAGCTTCTGAATTTCTTCTGCAAGGAATGAGGTGCAAACTCTTTCAAAGTGATGAGAACAAGAAACTATAAGGAAAAAAAATTCTCAGAAATCTAAATAAAGTCATCACTGCACAACTGTCCACTGTCTTAGTATAGGAAATAAACTTATTGCATGAAGAAACTGTCCTGTGGCAGTTGGAGTAAGAAGCAGGCCTTTCCCGATGCGTGTAGTCAAGACCGGAGGTGGACAGCCACCGTCCAGGGGCAGAGCACTCCTCCCCTCAGGATTCTATCCCAGACAGCCTTGTCTGATCTCATTAATTTCTTTTCTTTTCAACCATCAAGGGTGCAATAGGAGGCCTTCTGACTGGAATCACCTTGTCGTCGTGGGTGACCATAGGGGCCTTTGTTTACCCCGCACCAGATGTGAAGACCCGGCCCTTGCCTTTATCCGTGGAGCAGTGTGTGCCGACAAACCTGACCACATCAGCACCTTCAGTCTTCCCCAGCAGGTATATTGGCTTTGAAGACGGCCCAGCGCTGGAGGGTAGGCAGCAGGTTGGGGGAGGCGCTTTGTCAGGGGTGCATGTACTGAAAGCTCCCTGCTGTTCCCAGAGAATCACACGGGGCTTCACAGTCAGCTTTCTCAGGGGCTTTTCCAGCACACAGGAGTCTGGAAGTGACCTCGGCAAAAGTGTAACTTGGAGGGATGAGCAAGGCTTTAGGAACCCCTTCTGGAACCTGTAGTTTGATGACTAACACAGTGATTGATGAACAACGTTCCTTTCTAGGTCTGACCTGAGTAAATGATTAAAAATACCAATATATGGGAGACACTATGCTGTAGGGAGAAGACCACTAGCTTGAAATTTAAAAATCTTCTCTTGGACTTACTTTTTACCAACTTCTATGATAGGAAAAATTCGCAACTTTGCAATTTTGAAATTCTTGTAGTCCCAGACTACAGCACAAGGGTATTAGCATCTAATTCAGAGAGTTTTGTGAAGATTAGATGGCATATAAATTACATACATATAA